AGGCATGGGGTACAGGGAGGGAGGTAGGAGGAAAGGGGAGAAGGGGAGAAGGAACAGACCATGAGAGAGCAGGAAAGTCAAACTGGGTGAAGGACAGAAAGGGAGAGCAAGGAAAGAGACACCTTGATAGAGGGAGACATTATGGGGTTAATGAGAAACCTGACACTAGGGACATTTCCAGGCATTCACAAAGATGACAGCAACTAAGAAGCTAAGCAGTAGTGGAGAGGGTTCCTTAAATGCCCTTCCCCTATAATGAGACTGATGACTACCTTAAATGCCATCCTAGAACCTTCATCCAGCAGCTGATGGAAGCAGAAGCAGAGATCCACAGCTAAGCACTGGGCTGAACTGGAGTTCAGTGTAGAGAGGGAGGAGTGATAAGCAAAGGGGTCAAGACCATATTGGGAAACCCACAGAAACAGCCGACCTGAGCAAGTGGGAGCTCAATGGCTCCAGACTGACAGCTGGGGAACCTTCATTAGACCAAACTAGGCCCCCTGAATGTGGCTTGGATAGTCTATGGGGCTGCTGGTAGTGGAACCAGTATTTATCCCTAGTGCATTAACTGGTATGAACTCTCAGCCTAGACACAGGGGGGAGGGCCTAGGCCTTGCCCCAAATGATGTTACAGACTTTGATGATTCCCCATGGGTGGCCTCAGCCTCTGTGAAGAATGGATTGGTGGGGGGGGGTGTGATGGGGAGATGGTGGGGAGAATGGCAGGACATGAGGGAGAGGGAACTGGGATTGGTATGTAAAATAAGATTGTTTTTAATAATAATAATAAACCACAACCCTCCTTTATTAAATTGCTATTGTTGGCTTATTTTGTTAGATCACAAGGGTGGTAACTAATGCAGAGGCCTTGTGGAAACTAATTAGCTTGTTGGAGGTATAATTCTCCAAAAGACTAATGTGGCTCTCACAGGAACTCAATTTTTGCAAAAATGGGCTGTTATAAAAAGAGAAAAGCAGCTCACTGAATTTCTCTGACTCCCTGCATCATCACAATATCTTTTAGTTATGCCATGCTTCAAGTAGCCAAAAGGCCCTCTCTAGAGATGGTCAGATATCTGTCCCGCCCTCTTCAATTTCTAAAAGTTAACCAAAGAAACCTCTTTTCTTTATAAAGTTCAAGAAAAAATACCCCACAGCACAAGACATGGCAACCTCTGTTTTGTTTACGTATTCATTTTAACAGTGTCTTTTAGGTATTCTTTGACAATTTCCTACCTGTAAACCATGAACCTTGTTCATGTCCACTTCCAACTCCTTATTCTCTCTAGGCAACTCTAACATGTTCCCCTTCCCACCTCATGTCTTCTCATCCTCCCCTCATCTTCCCTCTGTAGCCCTGAGTTCGGTGGATGCTGCCTGTTGTAATATCGACTGATCTCATCCTGTGCATGTCTTGTGCAGGTAACAACAGCTACAAAGGGTCCATGAGTTGCAGTGCCACATCATGTTCTTAAGTCAGCATTTCATATCACTCCTCCTCATCCTTCAGTTTTTACAGTCTTTCCACCCCCTCTTCTGTGATGTTGCCTAAGCTTTTATTATGGTGGATGTGGGGGTGCAGTTGATATAAATGTTCCATTAGGGACAAACACAAGATACTCACTTATTCTTAGCACTTTAACAGTTGTGGGTTTCTGTATTAGCTGCTAACCACTGTGGAGAAAAGCTTTCCTGGCTAAGGCTGAAAGTAATACTAATCTACAAGAATAAATGTAAATATTTAGAAGGCAGTTTGACAACATACCCATTTATCAAATACAACAGCATTAGGTTCTACTTTAAGACTTATGACTTCCAAGCCACGGATTTTGATCAAGCTTACTTGTATTCAAGGCATGAATTTCTTCCTGTGGAACAAGTCTCAAAACCAACACAAAATTAGTTGTTTATTTCCATAACCTTCCAACCAGTGTTGCACTAGTGAGCATATCTTGCCTGGCAGGTTAGTATTGTAGCATGTAAAGTTTCCCATTGGCTAATAGCATGGATAGCTTTTGTACCCAACACCTATTTTAAAAGAAAGGTACAGTTATCACCTCCACCCTAAATAGGGACCAGAAAATGAGTAGTAAATCCAGTTGTTGATTAACTAGCTGACATTTTAATGTATTCATTGAACTGAGAATAAAAGTTGTAGTAATTAAGACTTCCATTCCTATGAGAAATTGAACATCTGCCCATTGTCAAACAGTGTATGAACAACTGTGGAATACTTCAGTGTTAGATATTTATTTTCTAGAGAGACAAGCTCCAAACCATCCAAAGGGGAGTAAGCTGCATATGTGCAAGTGAAAGAATTAAAAATGCAGGATGTCCCACCCCAACATTCACCGAATCTGTGAACGGCTGGAGGGTGTGAAGGGGATGGATCTACAGATCCAAAACAGCAGAATCTCAACAACACAGAACAACAACAGGATATCCATGAGGAACCCCAGTGAGAGCTTGGAAACCAGAGGCCTTCCGTGAGACAGACAACGACTCAAGGCAATGAACACTTCAAGTAAACATGAAGAGAATAAAGGGTAAACTGTGTGTTTCAAAGGGCCACACTACAGCTTCCATGAAGAGATTCTTTTTTTGTTTTTGTTTTGTTTCGATTTTCTTTTAAATTTGGTTTTGATTTGTTTGGGGGGGGGTGTTGCAAGGGCAGAGGGCAGATGTGAAGAGATGGGGAGATAAGTGGGATTTCAGGTAAAGGTCATTTTCAACAACCACAGTTAACCATATTCAGTAAGGCCAAATAGAAATAGCTCCTTGTAGACACATTACAATGAAACTATGTGACATGAAAAACCAAACAAATATTTTAAGTATGGTAAAATGAAGCCAGATGGGGTAGCACACACCTATTATAATCCTTGGACTTGGGAGGCTACAGCAGGAGGATCAGGACTTCCGGACCAGCCTGGACTACACAACACCTGTCCCAAAATGAAATCAAATCAAGAACAAAACACTTCAAATCCCCCAAACTAAAACATACAAAACCAAACAAACCTACACATAGTATTTATTTTGTTTAGCAGATGACCATTTATTTAGACCAAAAAAAAATGGTGAAACACTATATTAATGTATTTAATGTAGCCAAGTATCATGCTAGAATTAAGAGTAACTACGTGTAGAACCAAGGGCTGGGGAAGAGATGACAGTTACCACATACTCCCCAAAGGTGGCTAGAAGCCTGAAGTCAGCACAATGAACATGCTAAAGAGACAGAGGAGGAAGACCAAAGCTTCAAGCTGAAACGGACAAAAAGAGGAGACTCCAGGAGCTAAAAGTGAAGCCTTCAGGGAGGGGCCCCTGGCCACAAGTGGTTTTTAAAGAGTGTTTTTTATGTATTCATTTATTTTTGGCCTGAGATGCTGATGCCCCTTGATTCTCTCCACTTCTATTGAAACTTTCCCCTCACCAATGTCTAGAATGCAGCATTGTGCTGTGGTCTATTGTGCATCTAAGGATAAACTTCTGTAAAAAAAAAAAAATCATACAGTGGTTTTCACTGCACCATTTCTATTTCAGGTTAAATAAATTTTGGAATCCTGGAAAAAAAAGTGAGTATGTGATCAGAACATTTTCAAGCATAAAATTCTAAGAGTTTATCACACACACTCATGCTCAGGCTTACAGAACCAAGATAGGACAGATGCAGTGGAGCTAACTGCTAAAGCATACTTTTGGGGGGGCAGGTGAGAGATGGTATCAATGGGGAAAAGTATTCACTACGCAAGCCTGATGACCTGGATCCATCCCCTGAACTCACAGTAGAAGGAGAGAACTGATTTCCGAGCTATCCTCTACTTCCACAGGTGTACTGTGTTATAGACATGGATGACACACATGGTCCTGTACTCACACACAGGCCACACCCATTCACCCAAATATACATCAGTGATACACTAAGCAAAAGAGCTGTGTGTAAGAGATAATTTCTGGCCTATAATCGCAGCTCCTCTGGTGGCTGGTGCAGAAGATTTCATATTCAAGGTAGGTCTAGGCTAAAGAATGAGTTCAAAGTTAGCCTGGGCAGCTTAGTGAGACCCTGTCTCAAAATAAAGGAGAGAGCAAGGGATGTAATTGTATAAAACTACTTGCTCAGTGACATTCTAGGTTAAATCTGCATTAATGCAAAAAGAAATTAGAAGCAGATATATATATATATATGTATGTATGTATTTCCTAGAAAGATGAAAATTGTGGTTAGCCTGAGAATAAGAGAGGAAAGATTTGGTTAATTAGGTTGGTAAATCTGAATAGCTGTGATTTTATGAATGATGTTGTAGACTTCACCTTTACCAGTAACATTTAAAAGAAAATAAGGCAAAAATGGTAACTGCATACAAAACATTACAAATTAGGTTAATCGGAGAAAAAATAATTTCAGAATTTAAAACCTAAAATAACGTGGAATAACAATAACGAAAAAGTTTCCCAACAGTTTAGTGATGAAATTTTGATGTGAACATAGTAAAAAGGAATGCAAGCCAGGTATGGTGGTGAACACCTTTGATCCCAGCACTTGGGAGGCAGAGGCAGGTGGATCTCTGTGAGTTCAAGGCCAGCCTGCTCTACTACATAGTAACTTCTAAGACAGTCAGAGCTACATAGTGAAATCTTGTCTAAAAATAAATTAATAAAACAAAACAACAGCAACAAACAACAAATCAAATGCATATCCTGGTGCATGCTGAAAACAGCCGGTAAAATTCATGATAAATCTCATTTATAAAGAAGAGACTAAAAAGGAAGACTTTACCAGTAGCTTTGGAGACTGAGAACACTGTACATCAAGGTTAAGTATTCATTGCTCATCACGGTATTGGGCCGTTTCTCAGGAGTGCAGCCTGAAACACCAAGCCGGTTAAGTGATGTCCATATCTTCAAAAATTCATGGAAAAACACGAAAGGACACCGAAAACACAAGAAACCTACTTATTTCTTGGTTAACGAAGAAACAGGTAAACAGAGGGTGTTGGGAATGTACCTCGAGGACTTCTAGGAATCTGTTAGGGCCCTCGGCAAGAGTCTAGGGTCCTATGTGTCAGTAAGAGTGGCACTTTTATTCCTAAAACAGGTGACTAAGTGCATTGCATCTAGGGGTAGAGAAACCTCTCACTTGAGCGGCGTCAGGATTTGTGCAGGTAGTTCATTCATAGAACAGTCGCCTCCGGGCCTTGCACGGGGCGCGTGGAGAGCGTGGAGAGCGTGGAGGGCGTGGAGGGCGTGGAGGGCGTGGAGGGCGCTGCTCCTGGGGACTTGGAGGAGGAGATGGGGGCAGAGGCTGCAGTGGCGAGGTGGGGAAAGGTCCCTGCAGGTAGCTGTCCAAGTCCCAGAAGGACCTCGGAGACCATGGCTCTGCAGTAGGGGAGGGTACCTGAAGCTGTGGTTCGAGGATGTAGTCCTGAGGCCAAGGAGTGGGCATCCTGATGTGGCAGGAAAGGAGCTCAGAGGCCTGGCCAGCTGGAGCGTCAATCCAGGGTGACAGGAAGCCAGAGTCGTCCTCCTCATCGCAGGCGACCTCTTGATAGGAGTTGTCTAGGATGTCTTCACAGAGGGATCCCTGCTGGAGGACGACGAGGTGGTCCTGGGGCAAGTGCAGGAGAGCGCCTTCCTGTGGGCTGGTGGACAAGAACCCAGGCTGTCCAAGATGGGCGAAAGACTGGAGGCCCTCGGGCACCAGGATTAAGGTGTGTCCAGGGAGCTCCACTTGCATTACCGAGGTGGGCTCGGGCTCCAGCAGTAGGTCGACTCCGTCCAGCTGCAGTTGCATGGCACAGCCATGGGCCAGGACCAACACCGAGGTGAGCTCTTCGCTGATGGCCTGGGTGGGCGCTTCCAGGTCGGGAGACGCCGGGGGCTCATGGAGGGCAGGCTCGTGGAGGCGGCGGCGCTTAGCAGGGCTGGGTCCTTGAGGCTGTGGTGCCCAGCAGGGCGCGGGGTCGGCGCTGGGGTTGCGGGGCCGCGCTTCCAGCATGTTGATGGTGCTGCGGGGCTGGGGAGGCGCGGGGCGCAGCGCGGACAGGTGCGACGGCGCAGACGGGCGGAGCGGCTGCAGTCCCGGGCTCCGGATATCTGTGCTCCGCCTAGTGCAGGGAAATCTCGATCTTGCGCACTCAAGGCCGGATACTACTAGATGCCAATCAATTTGAAAAGATGAACCGGAACCCAGGTCAAGACGGAAAAGGTCAGGTTAGGCTGCACCTTTGGGAGCCTGTGTCCTGGAGGCTCCACCCAGGAGTGTCGGACTGACCAATAGCCTTCGCTGTAGTTGGGAAATACTTTTTTTGGCCTATAGGAGGCAGAACATGTTGCTCCGCTTGACCTATCCGGAATAGAATTTCAAGATGCCGCAGGATTAGAACTCCTCTGGTTTCGGGGAGCCAAAAGATCACCGAAAACCTTGCGCACCCTGCCTCCACCCCGCCCCCTGTTAAATGCCATTTGAAAGTGCTTCCGCGGTTTTTTTGTTTATTTGTTTGTTGTTGTTGTTGTTGTTGTTGTTTTTTAATCTGTGTTTGGAGAATGGGTTACGAGGTTAGCGGGGTCTGAGGTGAGACGTGACTTACTCCTGCCTGAGATAACGCATGTTTTTGTGCAGCTGGAAATCCCTCATTCCGGAGGCTAAGGTGAAGAGAATCTTGTGTTTGCAGGGCGACACATGGTCTCAAAAACGACAAAACAATTCTGGCCCAGAGAGAGGTTAGTAAGTAAAGGCTCTTATTTCCTAGCCTGATGATCTGAGTTCGATCTTGGTTCTACATGATGACACGCTGTGGCACATGCAGACACATGATAAATAAATGTAATAAAAATGTAAAAAGAAAAAACTCAAAAAATAAAAATACTTTTTTTTTTATAACGGTTCTCTTGTATGCTGTGCTTCCTTGACTCGCTTATGTAGTCCGGTGCCTCCAGCTCCTAAGTACTGGGATCACAGTCATGCACTGTAACAAGTGGCTTTATGCCATTCCTAGAGCCAAAAGCAGCCAGCGCTTCCTGTCTGCCAGGCAAGCAATCTACCAACTATACTCTTGCTCTTGTCCCCTAAGCCAGCGGTTCTCAACACGTGGGTCGTGACCAGGGAGTGGCGATGGGGTGGGGGTCGAATGACTCCGACATCCTACATATCAGATATTAAACATTACGACTCACAGCAGTAGCAGTTATGAAGTAGCAATGAAATAGTTTAATGGTGAGGAGGGTCACCATAACATAAGGAACTGTATTAAAGGGTCTGTGCTGAGAACCACTGCCCTAAACTAAATGAAAAATCCCCTTCTCCAGCTTTAGGAAAGTGTTTTTTCTTAGGAGGGGGCGGGGTTTGGTTTTCTCTGTAGTCCTGCAACTAGCTCTGTAGACCAGGCAGGCTTAAGAGATCCGCCTGTTTCTGCCTCCTGAACGTGGGATTAAAGGCGTGTGCCGCCACTGCCCGTCCAAAAAGCACTTTAAAAACAGTGAAGTGGAACATTTGTGTAGATGCTTCCGGAATATCAAGGGTTACACTATAACTTATTAAAACTTGTTTTTATTTTGTAAGTATGGGTCTACTGCCAGCATGTATGTCTGGCACCACATATGTGTCCTGCTTTATGGCTGCCAGGAGAGAGCCCTGGGTCCCCTACCGCTGATCCACAGTGTGGATGCTGGGAATTAAACCTGAGTCTTTTGGAAGAGCAGCAAATACTCTTAAAGGCAGAGCAGTCTCTCCAGCCCCCTCTCCTCTTTCTTTCTTTTTTTTTTCTTTTTCTTTCTTTTTTTTTGTTTTTTTGGTTTTTAACCTTTCTTGCATAATCTTTTTAAATTTTTTATTTAAATTAGAAACAAGCTTGCTTCACGTGGCAATCCCAGCTCCCTCTCCCTCAACCCCTTCCATCCCCCCTGTCCTCCCCCAACTCCTCACCCAATCCCCACTCTGTTCCCCAGTGAAGCCCTCCATGGGGCATCTCCATAGTCTGTCATTTCATCCAGGGCAGGGCCTAGGCCCTTCCCCAAGAGTCAGGCTGAGAGAGCATCCCATTGAGGGATGGGCACCCAAAGTCCATTTGTATGCCAGGGATAAATACTGATCTACTACCCAAGGCCCCAGAGATTGCCTAGGCCTCCTCCTGACACCACATTCAGGAGGTCTGGATCAGTTCCATGCTGGCCTCTCAGCCATCAGTCTGGAGTCCAAGAGCTCCCCTTTGTTCAGGTCAGCTGTTCCTATGGGTTTCACCAGCATGGTCTTGACCCCTTTGCTCATCACTCCTCCCTCTCTGTCACTGGGTTGCAGGGGTTCAGTTCAGTGTTTAGCTGTGGGTGTCTGCCTCTGCTTCCATCAGTTACTGGATGAAGGCTCTAGGGTGGCATATGAGGTCCTCGTCAAACTCATTATCAAGGAGGGGCACTTAAGATAGTCTTTCCACTATTGCTTAGTTTGTCAGTTGTTGTCATCCTTGTAGATCTCTGAAAATCTCACTAGTGCCAGATCTCTCCTTAAACCTATAATAACTTCTATTATGGTATCTCTCATCCTGATCTCCTCTATTTTTCTCTTGACTCAACTTTCCTGCTCCCCCATGTCCTCCTCTCCCCTCCTCTTCTCCCCTTCTGTTTTTCCTAGCTCCCTCTCCCCCACTCCCCCATGCTCCCAATCTTCTCAGGAGATCTTGCCTCATTCCCCTTCTCTTAGGGTCCTTCCTGTTTCCCAGACTCTCTGGCAGTGGGATTGTAGGCTGGCACTCCCCTGATCCATGTGTAAAATCCATATATGAGTGAGTACATGTCTTTTGTGACTGGGTTACCTCATTCAGGATGGTTTCTTCTAGTGCCATCCATTTGCCTGCAAATTTCAAGATTCCATCTTGTTCTGCTGAATAGTACTCTATTGTGTAAATGTACCATATTTTCTCTATCCATTCTTCAGTTGAGGGGCATCTAGGCTGCTTCCAGGTTCTGGCCATTACAAATAATGCTGCTTTGAACATAGTGGAACAGATATCCTTGTTGTATGAATGTGATGTGCATCTTTTGGATATATGCCTAAGAGTGGAATTACTGGGTCTTGTGGTAGGCTTATTCCCATTTTCCTGAGGAATCTCCATACTGATTTCCAAAGTGCTGTACGAGTTGGCACTCCCACCACGAGTGGAGGAGTGTTCCCCTTTTTCCACAACCTCTCCAGTTGGTGTTTTTTGATCTTAGCCATTCTGACAGGAGTAAGATGGTATCTCAGAGTTGTTTTGATTTGCATTCCCAGATGGCTAGGGATGTTAAGCACTTTCTCAAGTGCCTCCCAGCCATTTTAGCCTCCTCTATGGAGAATTCTCTATTTAGTTCTGTAGCCCACTTTTTAATTGGATCCTTTGGTGTTTTGGAGACTTGCTTCTTGAATTCTTTGTAAATTTTGGAGATCAGCCCTCTGTCAGATGTGGGCTTAGTGGATATCTTTTCCCATTCTGTGGGCTGCCTTTTTGTCTTGCTGACTGTGTCCTTTGCCTTACAGAAGCTTCTCAGTTTCAGGAGGTCCCATTTATTAATTGTTGACCTCACTGTCTGTGCTACTGGTGTTATGTTCAGGAAGAATTCGTTCAAGGGTACCACCAGCTTTCTCTTCTAAGAGGTTCAGTGTGGCTGGATTTATGTTGAGGTCTTTGATCCATTTGGACTTAAGTTATGTGCATGGCGATAATCATGGATCTATCCGCATTCTTCTGCATGCCAGCATCCAGTTATGCCAGCACCATTTGTTGAAGATGCTTTCTTTTTTACATTGTATTTTAGCTTCTTTGTCAAAGATCAGGAGTTCATACGTATATGGATTAATATTGGGGTGTTCAATTGGATTCCATTGGTCTATCTGTCTATTTTTGTGCCAACACCAAGCTGTTTTCAGGACTATAGCTTTATAATAGAGCTTGAAGTCAGGGATGGTGATGCCTCTGGACATTGCTTTTTTTGAACAGGTTGTTTTGGCTATCCTGGGTCTTTTTTTTTCACATAAAGTTGAAAATTGTTCTTTCCATGTCTGTGAAGAATTGTGCTGGGATTTTAATGGGGATTGCATTGAATCTGTAGATTGCTTTTGACAAAATTGCCATTTTACTATATTGATCCTACCCATTCAAGAGCATAGGTGATCTTTCCGTTTTCTGGTATTTTCTTTAATTTCTTTCTTTAAAGACTCAAATTTCCTGAGATACAGGTCTTTCACTTGTTTGGTTAGCCTTACCCCAAGGTATTTTGTTATGTGTGGCAATTGTAAAGGGTGATGTTTCTCTTATTTCTCTTATTTCTTTCTCAGTCCTTTTATCATCTGTATATAGTAGGGCTACTGATTTTCTTTGACCTCTTCCTTTCCAATTTGTATCCCCTTGATCTCTGATTTTTGTCTTATTGCTCTAGCTAGAACTTCAAGTACAATATTGAAGAGGTATGGAGGGAGTGGGCAGCCTTGTTTTGTTCCTGATTTTAGAGGAATAGTGTTGAGTTTCTCTCCATTTAGTTTGATCTTGGCTGTTGGTTTGTTGTATATAGCTTTTATTATGTTTAGGTATGTTCCTGTTATCCTGGATCTCTCCAAGACCTTTATCATGAAGTGGTGTTAGATTTTGTCAAAAGCTTTTTCAGTATCTAGTGAGATGATCATGTGATTTTTGTTTCTCAGCTTGTTTGTATAGTGGATTACACTGATGGATTTTTATATGTTGAACCATCTCTGCATCCCTGAGATGAAGCCTACTTTATCATGGTGGATGATTTTTCTGATGTTTTCTTGGATCCGATTTGCCAGTATTTTGTTGAGTATTTTTGCATCAATGTTCATGAGGGATATTGGTCTGAAGTTCTCCTTCTTAGTTGTGTCTTTGTGTGGCTTGGGTATCAAGGTTATTGAAGCCTTGTAAGAAGAGTTTGGTAATGGCCTTCTGCTTTTGTTGCATGGAATACTTTGAGGAGAATTTGTATAAGCTGTTCTTTGAATTTCTAGTAGAATTCTGCACTGAGGTCATGTGCCCTTTTTTTGGTTGGGAGATTTTTGATGACTGCTTCTATTTCATTAGGGGTTATAGGTC